TAAGAGTATTTAGAGGAGGGGTACTAAGAGTATTTAGAGGAAGGGCATTAAGAGTCGTCAGAGGAAAGGTACAGACTGTTCTGAAGAAGGAAAACAAATCGTACTTAGAGTTGGGGTATTTAGTGGAGATATGCATTGAGTATCTAGTGTTTAGTGGAGGGGTACATTGAATATTTGATGGAGGGGTACTGAGAGTATTTAGGGAAAAGTTACAGACTGTCCTGAAGAAAAAAACCAAGTAGTATTTAAAGATGGGGTACTGAGAGTATTCAGGCAGGAGTTCTTTGAGTATTTATAGGAGGGGTACATGGAGTATTCAGGGAAGGGTACGGAAATAATTTAGAGGAGGGGTGCATTTATTATATGATGGAGGGGTACTGAGAGTATTTAGGGGAGGGGTACTGAGAGTATTTAGGGGAGGGGTACTGAGAGTTTTTAGATGAGGGGTACTGGGAGTATTTAGGGGAGGGGTTCATTGTGTATAAAGGGAGGGGTACTGAGAGTATTTAGGGGAGGGGTACTGAGAGTTTTTAGGGGAGGGGTACTGAGAGTATTTAGGGTAGGGGTACTGAGAGTTTTTAGGGGAGGGGCACTGAGAGTATTTGGGGGAGGGGTACTGAGAGTATTTGGGGGAAGGGTATTTTAGAGAGTGAAACTGAGAAGTCTGAATAAGGTTTATTAACAGGTTAGTCAAATCTTAACCAGGTGGAAACGTGGGGTTCTGGAGAAGTAAAGAGTGGGGTACAGGAAAATATACACTGTCGAGGACATTGCTTGGGGTCACAGTGGTTATGGCAGCTGATGAATCGGCTGGTGGAGCACGCAGGGCAACTAAAAGCAAACTCTTTGAGTTCCTGGTTCATGGAGTGGTGAGTGGGATAATTAGAGAGGGTTATTTAAGGGTATTCTAAGGGGATCTAAAGGGGTGTGTGGGATTATTATACTAAAGGGCAACCAGAGAGGAACATGGTTTTATGCTGCAGAGCGATTGAGTATAATGCCTAGTCTAGATAGGATAATGTGTGTACTTCTCATATCTATGGACCTGTGTATATTACCTAGTTTAGATAGGATAATGTGTGGAATTCTCATATCTATGGCCCTGAGTATAATACCTTGTCTAGATAGGATGCCGTGTGTGTAATACTCATATCTATGGCCCTGAGTATAATGCCTAGTCTAGATAGGATAATGTGTGGAATTCTCATATCTATGGCCCTGAGTATAATACCTAGTCTAGATAGGATAATGTGTGGCATTCTCATATCTATAGCCCTGTGTATATTACCTAGTCTATATAGGATAATGTGTGGCATTCTCATATCTATGGCCCTGTGTATATTACCTAGTCTAGATAGGATAATGTGTGGCATTCTCATATCTATGGCCCTGAGTATAATACCTAGTCTAGATAGGATAATGTGTGGCATTCTCATATCTATGGCCCTGAGTATAATTCCTAGTCTAGATAGGATAATGTGTGGAATTCTCATATCTATGGCCCTGAGTATAATGCCTAGTCTAGATAGGATAATGTGTGGCATTCTCATATCTATGGCCCTGAGTATAATACCTAGTCTAGATAGGATAATGTGTGGCATTCTCATATCTATAGCCCTGAGTATAATACCTAGTCTAGATAGGATAATGTGTGGCATTCTCATATCTATAGCCCTGAGTATAATACCTAGTCTAGATAGGATGCTGTGTATGTAATACTCATATTTATGGCCCTGAGTATATTACCTAGTCTAGATAGGATAATGTGTGGAATTCTCATATCTATGGCCCTGAGTATTATACCTAGTCTAGATAGGATAATGTGTGGAATTCTCATATCTATGGCCCTGAGTATAATTACCTAGTCTAGATAGGATATCCAGTGGCATTCATATCTATAGCCCTGTGTATATTACCTAGTCTAGATAGATAATGTGTGGCATTCTCATATCTATGGCCCTGAGTATAATACCTAGTCTAGATAGGATAATGTGTGGAATTCTCATATCTATGGCCCTGAGTATAATGCCTAGTCTAGATAGGATAATGTGTTGCATTCTCATATCTATGGCCCTGAGTATAATACCTAGTCTAGATAGGATAATGTGTGGCATTCTCATATCTATAGCCCTGAGTATAATACCTAGTCTAGATAGGATAATGTGTGGCATTCTCATATCTATAGCCCTGAGTATAATACCTAGTGTAGATAGGATGCTGTGTATGTAATACTCATATTTATGGCCCTGAGTATATTACCTAGTCTAGATAGGATAATGTGTGGAATTCTCATATCTATGGCCCTGAGTATTATACCTAGTCTAGATAGGATAATGTGTGGAATTCTCATATCTATGGCCCTGAGTATAATACCTAGTCTAGATAAGATAATGTGTGGAATTCTCATATCTATGGCCCTGAGTATAATACCTAGTTTAGATAGGATGCTGTGTATGTAATACTCATATTTATGGCCCTGAGTATAATACCTAGTCTAGATAGGATAATGTGTGGAATTCTCATATCTATGGCCCTGAGTATAATACCTAGTCTAGATAGGATAATGTGTGGAATTCTCATATCTATGGCCCTGAGTATAATGCCTAATCTAGATAGGATAATGTGTGTACTTCTCATATCTATGGCCCTGTGTATATTACCTAGTTTAGATAGGATAATGTGTGGAATTCTCATATCTATGGCCCTGAGTATAATACCTTGTCTAGATAGGATGCCGTGTGTGTAATACTCATATCTATGGCCCTGAGTATAATGCCTAGTCTAGATAGGATAATGTGTGGCATTCTCATATCTATGGCCCTGAGTATAATACCTAGTCTAGATAGGATAATGTGTGGAATTCTCATATCTATGGCCCTGAGTATAATACCTAGTCTAGATAGGATAATGTGTGGCATTCTCATATCTATAGCCCTGTGTATATTACCTAGTCTAGATAGGATAATGTGTGGCATTCTCATATCTATGGCCCTGAGTATAATACCTAGTCTAGGTAGGATAATGTGTGGAATTCGCATATCTATGGCCCTGAGTATAATACCTAGTCTAGATAGGATAATGTGTGGAATTCTCATATCTATGGCCCTGAGTATAATGCCTAGTCTAGATAGGATAATGTGTTGCATTCTCATATCTATGGCCCTGAGTATAATACCTAGTCTAGATAGGATAATGTGTGGCATTCTCATATCTATAGCCCTGAGTATAATACCTAGTCTAGATAGGATAATGTGTGGCATTCTCATATCTATAGCCCTGAGTATAATACCTAGTCTAGATAGGATGCTGTGTATGTAATACTCATATTTATGGCCCTGAGTATATTACCTAGTCTAGATAGGATAATGTGTGGAATTCTCATATCTATGGCCCTGAGTATTATACCTAGTCTAGATAGGATAATGTGTGGAATTCTCATATCTATGGCCCTGAGTATAATACCTAGTCTAGATAGGATAATGTGTGGAATTCTCATATCTATGGCCCTGAGTATAATACCTAGTTTAGATAGGATGCTGTGTGTGTAATACTCATATTTATGGCCCTAATTATAATACCTAGTCTAGATGGAATGTGTGTGGAATTCTCATATCTATATTTTAATTATAATACCTAGGTCTGGATATTAATGTTAGATTCTCATATCTATGGCTAGTGTAATGCCTAATCTAGATGGGATAATGTTCTCATATCTATGGCCCTGTGTATATTACCTAGTTTAGATGGGATAATGTGTGGAATTCTCATATCTGGCCTGGTATATTACCTTGTCTAAGATGGGATGCCGTTATTGTCTCATATCTATGTGCCCTGGGTATATTACCTAGTCTAGATAGGATAATGTGTGGCATTCTCATATCTATAGCCCTGTGTATATTACCTAGTCTAGATAGGATAATGTGTGGCATTCTCATATCTATAGCCCTGTGTATATTACCTAGTCTAGATAGGATAATGTGTGGCATTCTCATATCTATAGCCCTGAGTATAATACCTAGTCTAGATAGGATAATGTGTGGAATTCTCATATCTATGGCCCTGAGTATAATACCTAGTCTAGATAGGATAATGTGTGGAATTCTCATATCTATGGCCCTGAGTATAATGCCTAGTCTAGATAGGATAATGTGTGGCATTCTCATATCTATGGCCCTGAGTATAATACCTAGTCTAGATAGGATAATGTGTGGCATTCTCATATCTATAGCCCTGAGTATAATACCTAGTCTAGATAGGATAATGTGTGGCATTCTCATATCTATAGCCCTGAGTATAATACCTAGTCTAGATAGGATGCTGTGTGGAATTCTCATATCTATGGCCCTGAGTATAATACCTAGTTTAGATAGGATGCTGTGTATGTAATACTCATATTTATGGCCCTGAGTATAATACCTAGTCTAGATAGGATAATGTGTGGAATTCTCATATCTATGGCCCTGAGTATAATGCCCTAGTCTAGATGGGATGTGTGTTGGCATTCTCATATCTATGGCCCTGAGTATAATACCTAGTCTGAATGGGATGCTGTGTATGTAATACTCATATTTATGGCCCTAGTATATTACCTAGTCTAGATGGGATGATAATGACTAGATTCTCATATCTATGGCCTAGGTATAATACCTAGTCTAGATAGGATAATGTGTACTTCTCATATCTATGGCCTAATGGTATATTACCCCGTTTGGATAATGTGTGGAATTCTCATCTGTGGCCCTGGTACTCAACACCTTGTCTGGATGGGATGCCGTGTGTGTGTACTCATATCTATGGCCTAATTATAATGCCCTGGTCTAGATAAGGATAATGTGTGGCGTTCTCTATATCTATGACCTAATTATAATACCTAGTCTGAATGGGATAATGTGTGGAGATTCTCATATCTATGGCCCTGAGTATAATACCTAGTCTAGATAGGATAATGTGTGGCATTCTCATATCTATAGCCCTGTGTATATTACCTAGTCTAGATAGGATAATGTGTGGCATTCTCATATCTATGGCCCTGAGTATAATACCTAGTCTAGATAGGATTATGTGTGGAATTCTCATATCTATGGCCCTGAGTATAATGCCTAGTCTAGATAGGATAATGTGTGGCATTCTCATATCTATAGCCCTGAGTATAATACCTAGTCTAGATAGGATGCTGTGTATGTAATACTCATATTTATGGCCCTGAGTATATTACCTAGTCTAGATAGGATAATGTGTGGAATTCTCATATCTATGGCCCTGAGTATAATACCTAGTCTAGATAGGATAATGTGTGGCATTCTCATATCTATAGCCCTGTGTATATTACCTAGTCTATATAGGATAATGTGTGGCATTCTCATATCTATAGC